TAATATTTACATATTATAATAATATATATTATATAAATATTATATATATATATATAATATATTTACTTATTACCGAAATTACATTCTTGTTAACCCAATATATCATATCATTTAAATATGTTTTTTTTTTTTTTATTAATTTACCTGAAGAAAATTCATCGCTATAAATGATGCACTTAACTTTGGCTACATTCAAACAATGAGTTAAACATTGTTGACGTAAATTAGTATTAATCAAAGCCGATATAACTCCTAATTTTCCTAATCCAAGCCAAGTTGCGACAAATTCTGGCCTGTTATTCATCATCAAAGCTACGGCATCACCTTTAACATATCCAGCTTCTTTAAAAATATTTGCTATTTTATTACTGTACTTGTCGATCTGTAAATATATTAATAAACTCATAAATGCACGAACTTTTTCATTATTTATTTATTTAAAACAACAAAGTACTTTGAATTATGAACATTGAACAAGTTTTTATTCAAGATTCGATCTTTCAAATATTTCATTAATATTAATTATTATTATTTTGGAATATATTTTTATACTTACTTCTTCGTTTGTCCAAGTACGATCTTCAAAATAAAAACATGGTTTGTCCGGATAAAGGCGTGCACGTTTTCGAAAAATCTTAATAACCGTCGTATTATTTTTAGCAAAACTTCTTATATCTATTTCAGCCATTACATACCGATAAATAAATCTGTTAGAAAAAAATCAACAACAACAACAATAAAATGTACAGATAATTAAGTGATATCACAATCATTGAAATTAATAATTATACTAAATATTGGGTTGTTCGGAAAGTCAAACTTTCGTTTTTCTTTTGTAAAAATGAAGACACAATTTTTACTTCGAAGTTAAACCTTAAGCCTTTCAAGTGGGCATAAACAGTTGAATTTGATTAATTTAAATCATTCACTGATCTCACGTGTTTTTGTATCTTTTTATTTGTCGGTTTGCATCAACTAATGCGCTTTATTGCGTATGGAATTATGTCGAAATTACTTTCTGAACAATCCAACAATTTATTAAATAATATAGTATATATATTATACTCTATAGTAATATATTATACTAATTTGTACTATACTATACTATACTGTACTATATTGTACTATAGTAATATATTATACTATATATTAAATAATTATTTATATTATTAAATAATAATTATTAAATATTATTAAATAATACAGTATAATATATAGTATTATATATATATATAAGTTATATATAGTATATAACTAATATTATACTAT